GCTGTGCATTTGACTATGTTATCAACACTTTCCTTGCTAATGATACTAGTGACAGCATTTCGGTATGATGGGTCAGACTTAAATAGGAAAGCTTATAATTGTGCTTACAAAACCAAACAAACTCTTTCCCCTACCCCCCAAAAAAAATATCCCTTTATCAGAAGATTGGCTGGTGGTAAGTTTCCTGACTGGGAGTTATCTGGTAAGATTCTGTTCGATACAGTTATTTTCCTTCTCCTTTTCCCACCTTGAAGGGGGAGCCTCCATCAACACCTGATATCTTACCCGCTCAGAAAATGACAACTGAAAGCCTTCCTGTGGAGCCACCGTGTGCCAGCTACCCAGCAGAAGGTCACACTGATGACTTCCCTGTGGCTTTTATTTTCCCCAGGGAAATCCACAGCCAGGGCTGACTGCCTGCCAAAAATGCTGAGTGCCACGAACCAGCAGCGCTGAGAACCCCTATCCTTCTTGATGGGAAATAGTAAGCAACTGTGCTGAACACCTGTGTCAGCTCCTGTTCCTGGGGACACCCCAGGCAAGTGCTCATTCGGCATTCAGAGATGGGGCTCCCTTCAACTAGCTGGCACTTCTGCCCAAAAACTTTTCACTAGTCATATGATAGTAGTTATGTGTGTGAGATCTCTATAACATCAGCATGTCTAACTACCTTTAAAGAGGATGACTCAACTAACTTGAGTTAAATATTTTCCTATGTCTAAAGGCAATCAGCAAAATGAATGTATCTCATTATTATGAAAGTAAAAACAACATTCTCTACCACTTTCTTTTTTAAGGATTTTATTTATTTATTTTTAGAGAGAGGGAGAGAAACACCAGTCCGTTGCCTCTCAGAACCAGGGACCTCACCCACAACCCAGGCATGTGCCCTGACCAGGAATCAAACCAGTGACCCTGCACTCTGCAGAACCATGCCCAACCCACTGAGCCATGCTGGTCAGGGTTCCATCGCTTCCTTTTACAGCTACCCCGACCAACTTGCAGATCAGGAAACTCAGTCTGAGATGTGGAAGACGTGATTCCATATATGAAAAAGATGAACCAATTACATAGATAAAAAGGCAAGAAAGAAAATGAAAGGAGAGGTAGCTGGAAAAAGAAGAAGGATCAAAGGGAAATTTTTGTTTGTTTATCTATGTTAAGATGGGAAACCTGAGCATGTTTAAATATTAAAGGTTTCAGTAAAGAAGTTCAAGGCACTAGAGTGAGAAATCAACATTTCTGAAACTGCCAGAGGAGATGGGGTGTCAGTACAGGTGAAAACCCCAGACGCTCAGCGGGAAAAGAGAACCTCCTTCACCCGCAAAGGGATGTGAGTCAGCCCAGATTCAACAACAGTTGTAGTGTGTATGTAAAGGTGAGGTAGGCAGGCGTGCATTCTCCTTCAAACAATAACATAAAAGAATAATTTCCTTCTTTCTCTGCTTAATCATAAAACTGATACTTTTCTTACGATTTAAAACACTTTAGAACAAACAAGAATCTTCAAGAAAATTATATTAAATATGCATAAAAAAACAGGTTTCATCTATTTGTTGTATGAATATTCTGGTGGCCCCATCATGGGAATCTAAGCTTTAGACACCTAATTATTGTTTAAAATCATTTTTAATGTATTGGTTTAAGTTTAAAGTATTTTTAATAAAATAAAGTTATTTGGACATTAGTAACTGCTGCTAATAAGACCATTAATAGAAGGTACCTCCACCTTTCAAATTTTCATCTTTAATAGTCACTCTATTCTTTGAAATAATAGTAATAATAACTTTAGAAATAACCCTTTCTGCTAAGTATCAGTTATATATTCCTTACCTGATAATTTTTCTAAAAATAAATATGGACATTTATCTGTTACTTATATGAAATAATACACCTTACTTTGTCATTTATATTATAAATGATCACTTCTAGTAGAGGTGACTCTTAATTTGAGTAGTTTTTATTTACCACCTGTTATGGGTACACAGGCTTCACAAATGTAAAGGAACTGCAAAGATGACAACAGTGTGATTTTTTCAGGGAGCACAGTGCTGGTCATTTAGAGGCAGACACTGGTTAAAGACTCCAAGTCATCAGGCTGGTAAGTTTCAGAGTTGGTTCTAAAAATCATACCTTTTAATTCCTAGTTTTTTAAAACTACTCTATATTTCTCCTAAAAATATTATTTTCAGTAACGTCATAAGTAAAATAAAGCCGTAACAAAATTTTCGAATATCTTCCTTGGCAAATAGAAGATGAAATTCATCACTTCTTTGTGTATTTGTACAAAGCTATGTAGTCTGGGTTAAATTTTAAATGCTAAACAATTGGGAAATTCAACTATGCCAAGGAACTAACGGAATGCACATCATTTCTAATGATTGCATGTCATTGTCATTAGTCTCAATCATAAAACAATGAGTTGTTACACAAAGTCAAAGAACAGAATTAAATTCAAGTGAATTTTGCAATTTAGAAATATGAAAGAAAAATAATAGCTGTACTACTTATCATTACTTCCTTGAACACAATCATCAGATAATATCTTGATCAGACAAAATTGCCTGGATCATTGTAAATTTAAGTTTATTTTCATTCATAATTTATATTCTGTGGATTAAGTGTAATTTTTAAAATGCTTTAGACAACCTGTAAGTCTGAGTGATGCTTAAAACATGGGAGAGAATAATAGCCAAGGCCCTCTATGATGGACTCCATCCCCAGCACCCTCCCCATTCCCCTCTCTTGTCCACTTCTTCCTCTCCTCCTGCCATGCTGCCCTTCTTTAAACTTCTTCAACACACCAAGCACACCCCTTACACCTGTTCTCACCACTGAATGTTTCTCTCATCACCCATATATCCAAATGGTTCCCACTCTCACTCCATTCAGGCCTATGCTCCCTTCTCTCCTTATTAGAAGGGCCTTTCTTAGACACATTATCTGATACAGCCTCCCTCTGTTTTTTACTCCATCTTGTTGTCTTCATAGTACTTATCCCCACAAACCGCATACTCTTCAGTTCATGTTTTCCTCCACTAGATTGAATCTCCAGGAGACTAAAGAACTTTTGTTGTATGAATGAATGAGTAAATGGATGAATAAGTATCTTTTCATTCTACATAGTGGAACAGGAAACTTCTCCAGAGAAAGAATAGTAAAACAAACAAGCAAGAGAACACAAGAATCTTACTTGATTTCTCCAAATACCCAAAGTATCCATACCAATTGTATTCTGTATCAAATTATAAATTAGTACAGCTAGCATATGCTGGTGGTTTTTCTGGATGTGTGCACAATACTGTGTGCAGAATTACTTGTATTCCACAAGCTGGAAGGCAGGATAATGCAGCAGGCCTGCATCATGTCAAGAAACACAGATTGAACTCTGTTAGTGATAGTTCATGTGCCACTGGGTGGCAACTTAGGTTTGTACAATAGGCAGACTGCACTGAAGTTCTTTATGTCTCTCAAGACTAGGGATAGCCTGGGTATTTGTCTCTACCTTCTTGATTTTTCTGCCAAGCACACAAAACCAAAATAAGTACTAGATTCAATTGAATGTTAATATTTACAATAATAGCTGGGTGCCAAGAAAAAAAACCACTTTGGGCTTCAAGTTATTTTTTAATGTTTAGTTCAAGGATATTCATAAACTTAAAATTTGGGGTATTGACTAGCAGAAAGCTCTTAATAAGTATCACCCTAAAGTGGTTCTCAACTCCACAAGAATCCATACAGACATACTTTCAACACAAGTAGTTAGGCATACCATTCTAAATACATCTTTTTTTTTTCAAGATTCTCCATATTTAGCTAAAAGCAGAGACATTAGCATTTGCACCACAGTAAGATCTACTTGAAATTATTTTCCTTTAAGATGGAGGGTAGCGTTCTCTCAAGATATATAACAATGGTAATCTGTATAGTCCCCTAATACTAATGCTAGGATATCACTGAATCTTTGAAACATTCAGGGAGAACTTTAAGCTCAGCTCCTTTCTGAATAAGCTGTTTTTACTTAAAGAGATGTGCTCAGAATGAAGGACCAAGGCAATTGCCTCTGTGTGATGAAAGCTAAAAACCCACTGGCAGCTGATCAACAGGAGACCTGGATGTGGAGGAGCTGAGTCAAACTCCACAGGAGCTGTGGACACAGTAACGCCGGAAGGGTAACAGAGAGGCAAAGGATCCCCACGTTCTATCAACAACTAAGCAATAGTAGTGAGAGTTGTAATCACTGTTTAAAGCAAGTGGGAGGCGTCTCTGAAGCTGGTGAACATAAAGCCATCAGTCACTCACAGGGACACCCAGGGCAATGGGACTGCAAGTGTCAGTCAGCATGGTTCCAGCTCACTGAGGAGTGTGCCCGCCACCAAACCTTCCATAATGGCTGACAAATGCTCAGAGTAGACCCTCTGACTGTCTCAATCTTCCTATTTACATAGAAATTGTCTGTTCTGATTAACCTTTATTTTACACATGGTAGTCAACATGCAGCACATAAAATTAATGTTAGCAAATGGGTTGTTCTGAAGAGTGTCAAGAGCTTGTAGAGGTATGCCCCAACCCAGGAGCAGAGCAGAGAAAAAAGGAAACTTGGTTTCTGAGCCAAGCACTCTCCTATTACAGTGACATAACTAATCACATTTTTTATATGTCCTAAGGTTTTGAATCCAGAAATGTTATCAGGAAACCTTCACTTCAATACAATTTATATACCATAAACAATAATAGAAACCAGGGTAGCTATCTATATATCTTATTAGCTCAGATATGTACTTCTCATCTTGAAAATTTCTTTAAATTATTTTTTCATCTTTAAATCCTAAAAAAGAGGACACCCAAATGTTTATATACATTTCTATATAAAGGTGTTAGTCTTGATTTGCAAAACTAAGAACATACCAAGTACATACAAGAACAAGTGGCAAGAGGCATGAGAGCTCTAGAACTGATGGCAAAAGAATGATCAGCAAATGATAATGAACTGTCCTGACCTGTTGAGTCTCCCAGTCCAATCTCTCCTACTCCCGATGTCCTCGATAGTATCTATAGCTTGCAATGCTAAAAAATATAAAAAAGAGAAGTATTTAGCAAGAAGTCAAAGTAATTTCAATACACTCAGGTGAAAAAAATAAACAGCATAGAGTTAAACAAGATTCCTACAACTAAACTGCGTAAGAAGTACTGTGTAATTTTCCTTGTAATAACTTTTGAAAGACCAGTTTCATAGTCAGACTCATGGACTATGCCAGTTAATGGTTGATGAATGAATAATAAACAGTTGAAAAACAAATTTTTATAAATGATGGTCAAGATAAAATGACAGTTTGAATATAAAAATATGAGCCATATATATACATACACACATAATTATACACATACCACACCACTTATTTTGGAGCTATACCAATTAACTCACTTCTTATAAATCTTTATATTATTCTTCATCACATAAGCACATATGTGTGCAGGTAGCTCTAGGCCCAGTTTTATTGAGAGAAACAATTTTAACCCTCTTTATAGTCCAAGATGGTTAACCTGAAATATACCTGTAATACAACATTACTTACAGCTACAGTACTTTATGGAAAACATGCTAATGGGCACTAAAAGTTATTAAATACAGACTAGCACTTATCAAAGCACAGTGCTACATTATACTAGGACACTAAGTTGTACAAAAATATGAGGTTTACAAACTCACTGGATACTTTCTAGGTTAAAACAACAACAAAGACAGTAGAATAAAAACAGAAGCACCCTATTTACACTCAGTCACTTTACCAGAGACTGACCCTCGGGTCACTGAGACTGGGATTGACTCATTGGTCCCACGACAGAAGAGCTATAGGTCTTTGGAAATGTAACCTCTAGAAAGCTTATTTTACCGATCCACAAATGATTTCATAGTCCTGACATGAACTTAAAAATGAAAGAAGTATAATACATAAACTATTTTATTCAATATCCTGATTTTATTATTCATTTGTGAATACAGAATAGTTTTTGTAAGGGAAAGCTCATCAGCTATTCTCAGCTTTTTAAGCTCTGGCTTCCAAAATGATTAAGTTCTATGGTTTTATAATGTTTAAACATTTATTAATGATTTCTGTGGTCTTGTTTACAACAGAATTATGAAAATTGGAAAAATATAAATTTTATAAATCTTCTGCTCTGGGATGGTAGAGTTGCTGGTATCACCAAGCTGTTTGTGTGATCAGTATTTCAAGCATGACTTCAGAATGACTCTTTCAGGCTAATGTCCCACTTCTGGGACACTGGTCTAACATACTGGAGACAGTGATTTACAGGCAACCTAGGACAAGGTCACTTGTATAGCTTTTGATTACAAGTTTACATAAGACTTTTTATCTTCATTTTTAAAGGCCTCAGTTAATTTTGGGTGATCTCTGAAGTGCCTAAATTCTTTTAAAGTATATAAAATAGTAAAAGGAATCATATACCAAGACCAAGTGGGATTTACCCTAGGAATGCAAAGTTGGTTTAACATCTAAATATCAAATAATGTAACATACCATACTAATAAAATAAAAGCCAAAACCATATAATCACCTCAACAGATGCTGAAAATCACTTGAGAAAAATCCAATACCCTTTCATGACAAAAACACTGACGAACTACTAACAGGTGGAAACTTCCTCAACCTGATAAAAAGCATTTATAAAAAACATCCACAATTACTACACTGAAGGGCGGAAGACCGAGTGCTCTTCTCCTAAGATCAGGAATAAGACAAGGATGTCCACTCCTCTTTGACACTGTCCTGGAGGTTAGAGCCAGGGTCATCAGGAAAGAAAAAGAAATAAAACATCGCCATATCACAAGAGAAGAAATAAATAAAACTATCTCTACTTGTATATAACGTTATTTTTAAAATGCTAAGGAATTCACTAAAAAATATTAAAACTTAAAACAAGTTAAATAAAGTTGCAGAATACTTATCCAATATACAAAAATCAATGGAATTTCTACCAATTGATATTCTACAAGTACTTGTAACATTAAAAAGACAATTTAATTTACAACACCATGAAAAAGAATAAAGTATTTAAGTATAAATTTAATAATAGATGTAGAAAACTGCTAGTACATTGAAAACAGGAACAACATTAAAAAACTAGCTTCTCCTTCAAAAAAACCAGCAAATGGCAGATGATGTAGGTGCTACAGAGGCCATGGAGCTTGAGAATGAGAGGCCAGAGCTTCCACAGAGAATTCAGCAGCAGCATTCAGGACCAAGGTCACGGCTGCATCAGGCAGGTGGGAGGCTGTAGTGGTCAAGGAGGCAAGGCCCAGGACAAGGAGTGGACCGCTGTCACCAAGCTGGGCTGCCTGGTCAAGCACATGAAGATCAGCTCCTTGAAGGAGATCTATCTCTTCTGCCTACGCATCAAGAAGTCTGAGATCATTGTCTTTTTCCAGAGGGCATCCCTCAAGGATGAGGTTTTGAAGACCATGCAGGTAGAAAAGCAGATCCGGGCTGGCCAGAGGACCTGGTTCAAGGCATTTGTAGCTATTGTGGTAAGTGATACTAATATGGAAATGAGCTAGTCAGGCTACAGTGAGGAAAAATACAAGAACTGGAAGGCTCCTCCCACTACCTGTCACTGTTCCTTTTTTTCCTTTTATTTCATGCATGCTGCTTAAAACCTGTTTGTTGCATGAACTTGCCTGTTGTATTCATTGCTTTATCTCTAGCACCTAGAACAGTGCCTGACTTAAATTGAATTTTAATACACACTTGGTATTTTAATACACACTTGGTAGGTGAATGAATAAATATATTCATGAGGACATGTGTAAATTCTTCTCTTTACTAGTTGTGTGTCCACAAATTGACTGCCTTTTCAGTTTTTATATCTCCATTTCCTTAATGCAATGGTGACGAATGACTTTAACCTAATTCACTCAAATACTATTTATTAAGCACCTATTATGTGCCAGATATTGTTCTAAGCAATGTCATTACACAGGGAACAAAACATAAAATCTTACTACGTTTATAATCTGATGAATGAAGAAAGATAAGAATATAGAGTGACAATAAGTTAGATGGTCACAACTATTTTGGAGACCAAATAGCTTGCAAGTAGGAATCAAAAAGGAGTGTCTATAATTTTAAGGCAGGTAATGGGAAAAGGGACATCTGAGAAAGGAGCTGAGAGATTGAGACACATGCATGTTGGATATAAAGAACTACTCACAGTGAGAATTACAAGCTAATGTGACTATATTTTCAGAGTGGCTGGATGGAGGTGAGGAAAAGAGAGTAACAGAAACCGAAATCAGGTAAGTGAGGGAGGGGGCAAAGGCAGATTGGGTGAGATGCTGGAGGCTCTTCTCTTGTAACCGCTATGGAATATGGCTTTTGTTCACAGAAAAATAAGGAGCCACTGGAAGGGTTTAAGCAGAAGTGGTATACGATGGGACTCGTAGGTCTTTCTCTCTCAGCAGGGGTGCTGTTGGCTTGTCGGGTTGGCAACTCCTCTCTGCCTCGACCATTGAGCACATGGCAGGTCACTCAGCAGCTCTGAATCGAGCCCACTGAGTAACAGCAGCAGTTCCAGGCCTCTAACAACCACAGCGCCCCCCTTTTATTTCCAGATGCATGTGAAGAATAGACTGAGGTTGGATATAAAGGTACAGTCTATGTTAACATTCCAGGTTATAGTTTGTTATCTGTCTTTAAAAGATTTTATTTATTTGTTTTTAGAGAGAGGAGAAGGGAGAGAGAAAGACAGGAAGAGAAACATCAATGTGTGGTTGCCTCTCACACACCCCTTACCGGGGACCTGGCCCACGACCCAGGCATGTGCCCTGACTGGGAATTGAACTGCTGACCTTTTGGTTCGCAGGTCCACACTCAATGCACTGATCCACACCAGCCAGAGCAATATAGTTTGCTGCTGTCTTGAGCCAGAGTGGCAGCAATGAATTCAGATAGGACTTTCCAGTCAAAATGAGTGTATGAGTGAAGGCTAGAAATCAAGGATGACTCAGGTATTTGGAATGAGCAACTGAAAGGATGCTGTTGCTCTTCACTGCAGTTGTGAAGACTGAATTTGGATGGAGCAGATTCAGTAAAGAAAGCAGGCACTCAGTCAAGACACATTGAAAACTACTATGTAAAAGTAGACGTGCCTATGTCATCCAAGAATTCTGTAAAATGAGGTAACGGGCACCAGTTCTGAACTGATGAATTTGTTAGAGTGCATTTCATGGAACAATAGGGTTAACAGAAAGAAATATTACGTGAATAAGTGAATAAATGATTACTCATAACTAATGGTACTCTATTAGCTATTTTAAGCAATTAGATTATGTCATAAAAAGTTTTTTTTGTTGTTTTGTCTTAAAAGAACTGCAAAAATAAGTACAATAGTGGAATTTCAAGCACTAAATGCTATGTGGGTAGGCAGGCTTTTAAAGCTGTTAAAGTCCCACCAGGCCCACATCACTTGGAGCAGACTTCCCACAGTGAGATTAAACTCAGTCCTGGGAAAACAGTGGGTGCCCCAACTGGTCTGTACCTCATACTGACTAAACACCACCACTTCCAACATCATGGAGTCAATTGGTCAATAGACACAACCTTTTCTACATTCATGATCAATTTAAGGATTGCAGAGAAAGTGCTACTTCCAGATATTACTTAGACACCCTTTATGGATAGTCTTCAGTCACTCATCCATACACAAAAGAAATTATCTGAATCAGCACAATGCACTGATCGATACAAACATACAATTTAGAGTTGCTAGGAGGAAGTATCCACTTGCACGCCTGCTGGACTCTTCCCCCCTTTGGCAGCATTCTGCCTGCTCCTTAGAGTAGGAAAGCCATGCTCATCATACGCACCTGACATCCCCCAAAATACATTGAGTAACCTTATGGAAATTCTATTTCTATGTTTTCTATGAATATTCTCTATGAATAGACACAGGTGAGGTAATTTGCATTTCAAAAGAAGTCCTTGCACGCATGTACACTAGAACGCACTGTACTTCCTTTCGATTAGAACATGGCATCAGGCTTCATT